CATCTTCCGATGTCAAAGGGAAGTGAGCATGATGTGTCATTCATCTGCTGCATTAAGTTTCCTTGGCAACCACTGCATCTATGGTCCTCAACGTTGCCCATTTCTTTGTGCTTCTTCAAAAGAGATTGAACAGCACATCTTGAAACCCCAGTCTGCTTTGAAATTTTTGCCTGGGAGTGACCTTACTTATGCAGTCTAACTACCTTGTGTCTTGCTATGCTCAGTCTTGCCATTGTGTATGATCTGTGACATGAAACTATCTTTTACAACCTCACCTTAGTAGCAGAGTTTGGCTGTTCCTCACCCAGTTTTAAGCCTCCTACACAGCTGTTTCTGTTTCAGTTAATGACTGTGTTTCAACCTACATATGAAATTGAAGATCATTAGCACCTGCTTCTATCTTTTACAACCTCACCTTAGTAGCAGAGTTTGGCTGTTCCTCACCCAGTTTTAAGCCTCCTACACAGCTGTTTCTGTTTCAGTTAATGACTGTGTTTCAACCTACATATGAAATTGAAGATCATTAGCACCTGCTTATCATTAGCACCTGCTTGGTATAATTGGTTAATCATGCACCTGACTCTAATCCTACAAGATCCCTGACTTTGTGCAAGTGTACAAAGTGTGCAAGTGTAAGAATTGATGCTGTTTTGAAAGCAAAGGGTGGTCATGCCAAATATTGATTTGATTTAGATTTCTCTTCTGTTCACTTACTTTGTATTTTGTAAATTGATAAACAGAAACAATTACAATATGTATTTTTGAAAGCAATCTTACTTTACAGCATTTTTTCACACCTGCTAAAACTTTTGCACAGTACTATACATTGATACAGAGGATTTTAAACATTAATATTCAATTGAAACCAGAACTTGTCCTTTTAGGACTGATGGATACACAGTTAGAAAAGAGTTATGGAAGATTATTTCAATATATGATTACTGCAGCAAGGCTATTATATGCACAAAGATGGAAAGATTTGGCACTACCCAACATGGAAGAACAGTTGGTGAAATTGCAGAACTTGCTGAGATGGCTAAACTGACTTGTTTGATTAGACAAAGATCATTACTGACATTTATTAATGACTGGAAACCCTTTATGGACTTTTTGCATAAAAAAGGAAATGAATTTGTGATTTTTGGTCTTGATGATTAGAAAGAATAGGTTATAGAAAGAAGGGACTTACGATGTAATCTTAGAGAGAGAGGTTTAAATATAATTGCCTGTATAACTGCCAAGAGGAAGATCAGAAGCCACTTCTTTATATTTCTTCTCATGGTTCCTGTTCTTTTATTTTCCTTTTCTTTTTTCCATACCCTTTTTCTTTGTCTCTTTTTTCTCCTTTTCTTTTGTTTTTCACATTTACTATATCTTTTTTTGAATCTATTATACCCATAAAGCCTTTCAATAAAACTATTTTTTTTAAAATAAAAACTACAAGAAGATCTCGGGAAAATTCTCATACCTCTGGAACCTTGTAGGAGTTCAAAAGATGCCCATCTGGATGGAGTTGGGTCAGGTTTCACCACCAATGACAGCCAAGGACTTCCTCTTTCTTCTTCTGATATACTTGTAGTTGATGGGATTCTTTTTTTTCAGGAAGAGAAATTCTACGATGTTCTTAGTGGCAAACCATACACTGAAATTGTTCTCAGAAACCTCCAATCCTAGTGTGTTGTTGGGTAACAGCTTGATGTCCTTGTTGATCTCATGAATGGCAAAAAACATAAAAAGAATGTGCTGGAAGTTTTTTGACATGAAGCTGAAGTAAGATCACACAAGGATACATCATTATTCCAGAAAAAGAAGCAAAGAAGTTGTAGAAAATTTCATTCCATCAATTTGTGGAGAAGGTATTCATTTTGGATATTCCTCCAACACTTTACTCAAAAGCTCCCACATTTTTTGGAACAGAGTAAGAAGTATCTATTTCCATCTTTGGTAAGATAGTAAGGATTCTTTCTGCTGAAATAGGTAGTCATTTACTCATGTCCCTTTCCCATTACAAGAGTGTAGTTTAACTCTACCAGTTGTAAAGCTCTACCTGTTGGATTCTTGACACACATGAAAAGCAATTTCTTTCTCACTCTAAAACACCAGGGTGAGTGAAATGTATTTTTTTTTTAGAACAGATCTTTTGAAATGAATGGAATTTATTCTAATTATGTAGTTTGTATTAATCCTTGTAATAATGTGACAAATATGCAAATAATTTAGGAACAGACATTCAGATTAGACATCCCTGAGAGCGGGGACAGCACCACAGTGAAGACTGGTGGTCAGGCAGTGAGTTCTGGCTGACAGAATTCTCTCTGGAGAAGGAGAGATTGAGAGATTGCCCACCTGTGCTCTGGATAGGTGCTTTTCATGAGGAGACTGCAGGAATTGAGTTTCTTGTGGTTAATCATGGGTTGACTGGCTTAGGAGATGAAGGATTACCATCATGCTCAAAAACTGCTCTGCAGTCTTTATGGATACTTGACTCACAAAAGCCTCACTTTCCAAAGTACCCAATCGCTATTTGCCCATTGGGCCTTGCCGCCAGCTGACTGGGTGTAGGGGAAGAGGGAGGTGAGAAAGAGGTCAGGGATATACGCATGATGATCAAAGAGCTGGGTTGATTGCAGCTGCACAGCAGCATAGCAGTGTTGAAGCAGCCACAAATTTCCCAAATTTCAATCCCACAGGAGTCATGAGTCATGGATTTTGGACACTTTCTGTAAATTAGCCCATTTGAGGTACCTTGATTGAAAAATTGTTACCCTATGATGCACCATATTGCCCAGTTGAAGGTTACAGACATGAGAGTTTTAGCTGTATATAGATATACAACTGAGATCAGGGGTCTTTCTTTTGGGATTGATGGACAAACAGTTGGAAAAATAGTCATGGAATTTTGTTTTTATATATGATAACTGCAGCAAGCTTATTGTATGCACAAAGTTGGAAAATTCGGCAATACCTACAATAGAGGAATGGTTGGTGAAGATGATGGAACTTGCTGAGATGGCCAAATTGACCTCTTTGATCAGCAAAAAATATCTACATTTATTGCTGACTGAAAACTCCTTATGGACTTTTTGTGTTCAACAGGAAAAAAAATGAACTTATGATTTATGATTTTGATGATTAGCCAGGATAGATTATAGAAAGAAGAGAGTCATGTTGTAACTTTAAAGAAAGAGATAAAGTTATAATTGTACTTATAACTACTGTAAAGAAGATCAAATGCTACTTCTTTGTATCTTTTTTTCTTTTCTATTTTTCCTTTTTTTCCTTTCTTGCACTTTTAGCTTTCTCTTTGATTTCTTTCTCTTATTTCTTCTTTACTTTATATTAGTTTGTATTATTTTTTATTTTTGTTTTTAAAACTTTTAATAAAATTATATTAAAAAAATAAAACCATGACTCTATAAATGTTTGCAAATATTACGATATTACAAAATAAAGCGCCAGTGGGCTGCTTTTCAAAGAACAATGGATTGTTAACATTAGATGTATCTTTCAATCAAACCATGGAAACTTGGATATGATAGAATATCTACTTTAACATTAATAAGAGAAACAGTTGAATAGAGTTCTTTCAATGAGGTTTAATCATCAGCACAGTCATGTGGAAATAGTTTTCAAAAAAATAGGGAGAGCAATTGTGGCTGAGAGAACAAAGCTCTGAATTTTATTATGTTCAGTGCACACAAAAAGGATATAGAAAGGGGGAAGGCTTCAATTGCATCTGGAATTTTTGGGCTTCCCCCTATGGTTGCTTCTGATCACCAGGAAAATGCTAAAAAATAGAATGAAGGATTTGATCATTAAACTGTCCTCCTGGAAAGATGTTCTTTTGTGTTCAGATGTGGCTTCAACAGTATGATATAGCACTTGGGGAGAAAGATGCAGCCTAGCAAGCTAGCAGTAGAAGCCAAGATGGAGAAGATCTCCACAGCCACCATGTCTTTCCCCTTGGTGCTCAGATAGGCTGGGATGAAGGACACCCAAATGCTACAAAACACAAGCATGCTGAAAGTGATCAGCTTGGCTTCATTAAAAGTATTAGGCAATTTTCGAGCAAAGAAAGCCACCATGAAACTGACGCTGGCCAGCAGCCCCAGGTAGCCCAGGGCCATATGGAACATGAGATCTGAGCCTTCGTTACATTGCACTATGATCTTATCAGTCTGGGAGTGCATGTCCAACTCTGGGAAGGGAGGAAATGTGACCAACCACACTACACAGATAACAGCTTGAAAACAGGAGCAGAGCACAATGATAGATCCTGCCAGTCTTTTCCCCAGCCATTTCCTCATTTGGTTTTCTGGCTTAGTGGCCAGGAAGGCCAGAACAACCAGGATAGTTTTGGCCAAAACACAGGAAACTGAGATGGAGAAAATCATGCCAAACAGAGTTTGCCTGAGAAAGCAGGTCACCTCCCCAGGCCACCCAATAAACAGCAGGGAGCACAGAAAACAAAGGAGGAGAGAGGAGAGAAGGACCCATGTGATGTTCCTGTTGTTGGCTTTGACAATGGGGGTGTCCCAGTGCAGAATGAAGGTCACTGCCACTAAAAGGAGAGCTGCTGAAAAGAAAAGAACCAAGGAAGTCAGAATGACTCCCAAGAGTTCTCCAAAGGATAAATAGCTGAAACTTTTCGGAAGACACTGGTCTTTTTCTGCATTTGAATAGCGATCTTCTGGGCACCTGTCACACTGGCCTGCATCTGAAATACATGAAGAAAGCCTTGTCATTTCCAAATTTAAAGAACATTTTGCAGAGCTAACAGAGGAATTGCTATTGATGACACCATTCACACTCTCCATTCCACTTACACAATAATGCTTTCTTAATCTTTAACAAAAGATTTGGTGTTCTGCAAAAGTATTCCATTGAATTTCCATAATATTAGCAGGTTATTTTCCACTTTTCCTTTCTTGAAAAGAACTGCATCTCTCACCATAGTGAAGGAGAGCATAATAAAATAGGTGTATGTGTATAAGTATTTACTATAAATAACCTCCCTTTAAAAATATAAAGAAGACTACTGCAGCTTACTACCAGTCCCATTGCAGAGTGGATTGGAGTAACTCTTTTCCCCTAGGTACTCTACCAAATCTCAAAAAAATGAAAAAAGGTAACCTTCAAAATCCTGGAAGTTCACACTATATAATTCTTCTTCATGTGTATGTATGTATGTGTGTGTGTGTGTGTGT